AGAGGCGTGTCACCGATACTGAGACTAGACGTCTCGATAGTGTCATTACAAGCGAGTAACGCACGGATAACCTTTAGAGTCCCAACTGCTTTGTGCTAGTCGATGCAGAAGAGCGACCAAAGAGGACAGCTGGAAAATATTGTGCCTCCAGCACTTACTTTGAATTCCCACTTTGCCAAAGTGACCAGCGGACCTTATATGAAAGCGTGTCGTGAAAAACGAAAAAATCGAGAACCCAACAAACAAAAAAGTCAACTCAAAGCCGTAGAAGTTTACTGCCATCTAGCGCCTAGGCAGATGTATAGAGGTGATTGCCCCGATAGTCTCAATCAAAGATTCCCTCACTTCTTGCCTCTCATTGTTGAGCATAAATCTGATTGTGACGTGTGATGCGAGGTAGAGAAACCTTAGAGGAGGCGGCAGTCTACAGCAAACTAAAGATTGATACTGAAATGGATTTGTCGAGGAAGTGCACTGCTTGGATCACTTTAATCTCTCCTACCAAGCAAGAGCTAAACCTCTTTCTCCATGCATATGATAGAGGACGAACTGGAAAAACCCAAGTCAAGGCGCCTGTCGTACGTGGACGAAAGTAGAGTGGAAAAGAGAAATGAAGGAAGGCGCTTCAGGAGCCAGTAACACCAGCGGAAACTCTGAGTCCACCCTGAATGAAAACTGACTACCGGCAGCAAACATTATAGACCGAGGCGATTTGTCTTCTCAAAAAGTCAACGTCAAATTCGTCCGCTAAGCAAAAGCGGCCACACCTGTGAGGCAAAAATCAAAGACGCGAAAGTCGTAGCGATTGCAGAAAGTATGGCAATGATGAAGAATGGCCATGGATATCAATGAGAATATTTCACGGGACGAGAGCAATCATCACTTCCTCTATCCGTCCGTTCATTCATCCCTTAGAAACAGTGTCGAAACAGGAAACGCGTCGAAGTGCTTTATTTATGGCAGCAGTAATGAGGGGAGAACGAATAAGAAATCCATGAACCGCCTGATCGTGGCGTACTGGGAGAGGAGTAAAGGTCTCTACAGAATGCCTTGTTTACGTTCCATCAGCAGATGCGGCGAGACCATCACCTCGGCATCCTCAGGATCTGAAAGGTAACAGAAGAAACGTAGATGACGGAGATTGCTTTGGCTTTTAGGACTATGTGGAATGAAAAGGCAATGATAAGGTTTCCTCTCGGCAACTACTGCCAAATAGTTCGACAGAAACAGACAAATGTGACTGGAGCTTTAAGTGTATCCCAGCCTACAGAAGATTCTTGTAGCGTGTGAGGAAGGAGTTTCAACAAACTATGCTATCAATGAGAGACCCCAAACGAGAAGTTTATATGAAACACACGCAGAGAAGGCCCTCATTCTTAACGAGGAAAACTACATGAAGGAACTGCCCTGAGAGCTGAATGCCAAACCTGAAGAACTGTTGATTGATTGACTTATGGTTAAAAATATGGAAATCAACATTCTCAGAAGGATTCACGCTTGAAGCATGCATTCTTTCATCATTGTTTGGGTGTGGTGAACTTCAGACGAAGTTAATTGTTTGCCCCAATCCTAGGGAGAAGAAGCCATCAACAATACAAGGTTGCTTATAAAGATACAGCATCTTCAGAAGAGGCGGAAGCCAGTGCTTCCTTTAAAAAAGAGAACTAGGAAAGTCGTCATCTTCGTTCTTCACTTGACAATTGCTTAATTACACGTGGCATATGGAAGCTGAAAGCGTATATGAACTACATTTACAACTGAATCATTAAAAGGGAAGAAAGTACTAGAGATTGGAAATCAAGCGATAGAAGAGACTTGACTTAGAAAGCTCAATCACCTCCTCCGACAGAGTTAAAACGTTCGCCTGTCCGTAAGTTTGTTAAAACCTCTCTCCATACTTGCATACAAGGGAGTTAAAGTGTCAAGCAGATGGCTGCATAGGGGAAACAGTTTTCCACCTTTAATGAACAGCAATACGGTTTTGTCTGAAAAGGATCAAAAACATCGTTTTTGTTCTAACAAAAGACGCACAGGGAGAAAGTTGGAAGAATTCCTAATCACACAAGTATTTACGCATCCCTTCCGACCTCAAAGCAGAAAAACAGCGTAGTAGAGCAGACGAGAATAGCAAGCGGGCAAATTAGCAGACGATCAGGCATTAGGTTAAATGTCTCTTATTCAACCCGGTTTTCCTCACCCTCTGGAGATTACCAGCCACTGATAGTGTGCCTCCGAGTGTGCGTGCCTCAGCGTCAGCCCGGACAAATGAAACGAAAAAGCGGGGCTAACAGGGCAGCATCAAGAAGCAGAAATAAGCAGTCACAAATTTTATCTGATCAAGAGTCCACGCTCATTTTGTTTCTGAAAAAGGAAAGCTCTCCCAATAGATGGTGGGTGATTCACAGGGACTGACACCTTTTTTACAGCGTGAATGGCCTATTAACTGGTCGTCGAAGGAACTATGATCCACCCTTCTGAACGGAGATGTGCCGAACTAAAGTTACGCTTGTTCCATGGATCCTCGCTGGACTGGCAGTTAGGTTTTCCATCAGTGTCACGTATGCTTGTTATACTAACTTCTGTATCAAAAAAGTACTCAGGTCAAGCGCATTAACAATGGATTTGGAGGTATGAGGACGTCGAAACAACCTCGAGATTTGGCAAGCTAAGTTAAGCCAGGACTTCCTCAGCAAATTAGGCAATGGACATAGTCAAGCCAAACAGCATGCGGGAATGTAACACGGGAACGCACCATTGAGAATATCACAAAAGTCGATGGTGTCGAGAGCACCGCTCAGTTGTGCAGCCAGCGGATGATGGGCATAGATGCCAGGAAGACGGGGAGCCATGAGTTTCATCACTTTCTCCTCCATGGCCAGTCGTAAGGGTGCGTGCAAACCCTGAGTAGAGCGAAGCACACGCATCGACTGCATTCGTTGTGCCACCTCCCCGCGTTGCGCCTCAGCTGCTGCTGCTGGGTGTGGTGCGGTCGCGTCTACTCCTGAGATAAGACCTCGGTTACCAGCCAGGCTGTAAGACAAATCAAATGATAGCAAAGAAACATTGATGATTCAGTTACTTTCGCTCATCAAACACTCCAGTGCCTCAAACAACGGTGGCATACACTGAATTGCTAGTGAGACGTAAATGATAGCATCCATTACAAACAGCCATCTGATTCTCGGACGAAAATAAGCTATCCAAACCCAGACAGTATCAGCATTCAAGCACGTCATACTTCGTCGCTACTCCTTGTGGGATAGGTGTGAAAAGCAGCGAAGTGAAGAACCTAAAAATATCTCAGTGGTTCGAATTCTAATGGTCTAGAACAAAGTGATGAGAAATACAGAGTGAGTTTGAAAAGCCAGGCTCCGACAAGGTTAGGTCATCGCATGTCTTTCACTAGGACGAATAACCCACTATAAAGGCCGTTTTGAAGTAAATTGGTGACAACAAGGCAACTCTCTCGTGGTGAACACCCCTGGATCTTCTTTACACGAGATCGCTACTGAAACCATCTAAGTAAAAAATAAGACAACTTGACAACTGTCACCATGGTCACAATTATAAGAGGAAGTTCTAATGGTTTTCCCAAAACACCAAACGATTCCCGAAAAATGTGCGAAGTAACATAGTCAGGGAGATCAGTCACGAGATGCGAGAAGATGCTTTGAGAAATAAGTTGAAACAGTTCAGTTGCCCAACCGTTTTGATACAAGATAGATCTTCAAGCTAACAGCAAAAATCACTAAGGGGTTCAAACACCCGTAATTTTAGTGCTACCACAAATAAATCGCCCTACACACCAGAGTCACTCAGCAAGGCTTAAAGGAGATCCAGAGTACTGCATTATTGGCGACCGTAGGCAAACTCTAAACTTGAAAAAACAATCAATTGATCTGTTAACTCATTCGAAAAGATCCTCAAAACAGAGCCAACTTCTTCCTATTGCCCAACCTCGTGTTCACCGAGAGTAATTTATGGCTAACCAGCCTCCAGAGCCACCTCCTCACCACCAGCAAAATGCCATCCACTCTATCCAGACTGCCAGATTGCACGCGTAACAGAGCGTCTTCTAGACCTGAGAAGTGCCTCAATTTTATACTCAGTGCAGTCTACAGAAGACGAAGCTGAAGAGTCAACAGAGTATACCACTAACGATGAGACCAACAACTTGGTAGATGACTCAGGATTTGAAGTAAAAAAAAGGCGAACTAAATTAGCAAAACAACAGAGTAGAACGAAGAATACTCACCCAGCATACATGGCCGGAACCAGGCCAAATTCATCGCGAGGAAGTTTGGTGCTAATAGACTCCTGCAAAACAGACACCAAGTCAGTTGTATAGAAGCTGAGGAAGTCAGAGGAACGACGCAGCTGTATGTATCATCGCGTTTATTAACGATTTCTGTTTTATGTACAAAAAGGAAAAGTTGACAATGCGCGCGTATCATCGTTACTACCATGGATAATGGATAGGAAAAGGTTGAAAGACTCAACGTAGGAGGGGAATAGTTTCAATTCGAGGGTGCTACAGTATCGCCTCCCTCCGATGCTGCTCCAACGGCCAAGGAATGCTGAAGTTGTTGATCCTGTGTTTGCGACTGCGACTGTGGTGGAATAACCTTGAGGAGAATTGGTTGGGTGGCAGGAAGGACGTGGACTCCCGGAGGTGCATTCAGCACTACCGGAAGAGAAGGTTGGATGGGAACTACCGTCGTTGGCGCTGTAGCGGTGGTAGTTGAGGCTTTACTACTGGACGGTTTAGGTGTAAAACTCACACCAAAGTGTTGAAAAATGAAGCGCTTGAGATCGTCATTCTCCTGTTGGAGAATGGCGTGTTTCTCCTGCACAAAAAAGTGAAAAAAAATGGGATGAAGGTTGTGCCTAATATCAAAGATGTCGCATAAATCTTGGCAGCCCGGTGAACGATAAATCACAGACTCATCACACAAATACTGAGGTGCCGAAGTCCACGATCCCTCTAGGTTACTCAGACTTGACAATTAATTAGCCAGACACTTGATATTAAGGCGTGACTCCAGGAAAACGCATTCGCGCATTCATTTCATGCAAGATGTCAGCCTCACCCTCTGCAAAGTAACTATTTGCATCATGACACCCTCAGAAAAGTCTGAAGATGTCAGTTATAGATGACTTACCTCCCTATCAAAGAAATTCAATGCTGATTTCTTGCAAGAATTTGGTATTGGATATTCCGGACTAAAAAGAGGTCAAATCACCCAGAGGAAAGAGGACCGAAGATCCAAAACAATCAACATTCCTCGAGTGATGCCTTAGTTCAATTGCCCCCCTTAGTTCAATTTGTCAAAGGAAAAAAAGTGTTCAAGACCTCGAGTTGGAAGTGGGTCCAGAATACACATCACAAAAGAGACCCTATCTGACGGACCAAATTAAAATATTTGAGTTTTTCCAATCATCCACGGTTTTATCTTCAAAACCTTAACATTATTGTTCTCACAGAAAATCAATACTGGTAACAATAAAGATGTTTTTAAGTGCTCGATTCTCAGATTCGCGCAATGAAGCTCACACAAAAAAAACTTAGACGGAGTGAGACGCTCTAAATTCTATTCGGTTTTATAATACGCAATCACTCCTTACCTCTGAATTTTGATAGAAGGATGACTTCAAACTGCTAGACTTAAAACTTCATTAGTCAAAAATGCCTGAAACAAATTTCCTACAGAAACCGGATAGTACGTGATACCTTGATGTCTTTGAAGTCATGCTCCAGCTGTTGAATATAGTTCTTCTTCTTCGCACGACATTTGCGTGCTGCTTCGCGATTTTTGTACCGCAAGTCGGACAACTGGACGGATTTCGGATGCTTAAAGTTATCATTGGTATCCGATGCCCTTTCAGAGGGAGAAAATGGAGTTGAGGGAGAATGAGGAGTAGAAGTGTGCAGAGGTGGAGAGATGGGCTTGGGAGCTATTTCAATAAAATTTTGCGGAAGATAGGAAATGGCCTCCGAACTAGACGAAACAGGAGTGGAAAAATTTGGGATATTGTCCAACGTCTGATGCAACTTCTGCTCATCCATAGCCATTTGAAGGCGACAGTCAGTGAACATGAAGCTTCCTGGAGGAATGGAGGTGGCAAGAAGGTGAGGATGATTGTGGAGGAACGACAAACCGGGCGGTAGAGTGGTTAATTTTGATTTCGAGGCGCTCCTGGCTACCGCCGCAGTAACTAAGTCACCGTCTGTGGTGGCCCCACCTTCAATAGACATAAAACGGACGAACGAGAGGCCCTTTTCACATTGATCAAGGGAGTCTTCATCCCTTAAGATCACTGTGTCACCGGAATCGCTGTCACACGAATACTGATCCACATTTTCATGCGTGCGACTCGGTGACGATCCCGTCATAGCAGCCACGATTAGGCTGAAGGAAAATAAACAGAATTTTGCTGTAAAAATTAACAAAGACAGATCAAGGGTGTACTTAAACAAGATAAGTAGGCCATACAAGGGTACCTTGTGATGAAAAACCAACTCAATAATAGAAATCAAGGTAAAATCCGGGCTAAGGATTAATAAAGCTTAAAAATACAGCTTAAGACATAACAACGGTGCGCATAATACATAACTGATGTGCCGAAAACTATGAGATTAACCCGATAATGAGAAGCAAAAGCGGCCGAGACAGTTCGTAACAAGACTGCTGGGAAACCAAAACTGGCGTCAAACTAGCTGTGCTAACCCGAAAAGCTAATATCTGTGCCAAAGTACAGTTAACATGCTCTACTACGACTGGAACATTTAGCTTAAAATCCATGTCACAAGCAAAACAACCAAAGTTGAAAACTATAAGAGCAATGGGATCATAAGTGGCTATTGGAGTCTACAAAGAATCTAAAACAGCAACGTTTGTGGAGTTAAACCACACGGTAATAGATTTTGGTGGATCTGCACACAACCCTCATTTTAGGAAGCGTGACCAAAACCTACAACTAAGCAAGGCTGGCCTAATCGCTAGGCTAAAAGTGAAATCTTCGATTGATGTAAAGTTCATAATCCTAATCAAATAACTTTCGAAAATGCTATGTTAAAATTGTGAAAATTCAATCAATAAATTTGAAAACATAATATAAATTCGCTAGAAGGCCGGTCAAGGGATTTCATCATGAAGGACATGTCATCAGAGTTTAATATATAAATGAAAGTGTGAAAATTGTTCAGCTTAAATCATTTAAAAACAAGTTGTCAAGTGATAACTTAGGATCTGACGCGAAGATGTATCGAAGTAATAGATTAAATACTAGATAGAGGGAATAAACTTGGTCTTTCATTATTATTAATGTAAAGGTTTAGTAACACGTTTTGCTATATGCAAGACGTACGACTTTTCATTCGTAGAGGGCTAAAATTTTAACTAGAATTTCATGAAATTTAGTGGATGATTGACATCCCTAGCTTCACTGCAACATTTCAATAAGACCTCGAGGTACCTTGTCGGCGGCTGCATTAGGACTCTATAGAGCCCAAGCCTTCCCACTATGTAGAAGAAGGTATTGAACGGAGCCTAATGCATATATTTTAGGAGAGGGAGAAGAGATAGAGCTTCGACCTGGCTTGAAGTTCAGCCCATGCGCGCAGTAGCAAGGCAAGTACCAAATTTGCCGCTAGACATAAAGGTGGTTATATAAACAAGAGATTACAGTTTATCTTGCACAATTATAAGTAACTAAATTTTAAGATCTTTCATTACAATCTGAATTCTCGGCCAAAAGGTTTCCGGTTTCTGTAAATTTAAACACCTCATTTAACCCTAATACGTAACTCGTGTGGGGAGATCACAATGCTTCTAGTCCAAAAGCAAATTTTATAGCTATCTGCATTAACAATAGCAATCCTTACTGTGACCGCCAGTGTGTCTGGCGATCAATTTCGCATTCGTCTTGCATTTGTACGCGAAGGCTTGCCGCCGGGTTAAGCCGAAAACCTATCTATTCTTTTTCTTCTAAAATGCATGCATTTAGCCCAAATTAATGCCATATTCTTTCTGGTGACATTTTTAGAGCACCAATGAATTCCGTGGTTAAGTTGACTTCTAAACCATGACGAATGCCCAATTCTATTCGGCCTGCTAAAATATATGTGCATTCAGCTCTAATACTGTACCTTTGAATATTTAATTAGAAGTTTCATGATGCTTCAGCCGTTGATTGATTCCGAGTGTGAGTTATAGAGTTTCAAGACTTTCCATTTGGTAGTGGAATACATTGGACATTACTGAGTGCTTGCATTCGGGGGGAAGAGGAAGACTTAAGACTGCCATAATCCGACGGCCAGCCCTCCCAGCAAAAGAAAAATGAAAACCGGGGGTAGTCTTTAAAAAATGTGATAAATGAATAATCGACATCACTTTTAGAGTCGGTTGAATGCATAAGCAAGAGAGGAATGAAACTCGAGCAAGGAGGCAGAATAAATGCAAATTTGACCTTGATTTTTCGTCAAACACCATGTCTTTTAATTACCGACTTTAACATTGGGCATGCCTACTTGCGGGAAGTGACTAGTGAGCATCGTCATGTCTTAACCAGCATTACTACAATAATCTTCCTTTCTTAAGTCTATTAACCATTGAGTTAATGGAAACAATAAATGATGCGAGAGGGAACCCTTGAGCACCGACGAAGATGTCCATTAAGGCGATGCACTTTTTAAACCCGAATCGAGTAAGTGTAGATTACTTACAGATTGCCGCATGCACCAATGGTAGAGCTAGTAACAATTCATTCATCCTCACGTTGAGGCCTTAATGGAGGCGCAGATCGCAAAATTAGGTACTATAAAACTTAATTAATTGAACTGTTCCAGCACATCCAAGCACCATAGTATTATCGCAATACTCTTTATGCCTGCTTGACCCTCAATACCGCCAAGATCACTTCGTTGGGCACTTCGCCTAAGCTAGTTGAACTTCCCTTAAGCCATGCTAGTAGCCACAGACAAGTCTATTCATCAAACACATGTTGTAGCATCCTGAGGCCCTCCATTGGATATTTGAGTACATAAAAGCCGGTCGACTACGTATTTAAACACTATGTTAACTTGACAACTTAATAGGCTGCCATCTTACTTTTGCCCCATCGGATGACCTTCGGGCCAGGTCATAGTCTCGGTTCAAACTCTTCTGTCTAAGTATAGGCATTCAGCACTTTTGGTTGAAAAAACAAAAGCCTCCGGAAATTACAATTGCATTAATACAGAAATGCAAGGGTGATGTAACTCCTGCCTCCCCATTCTCCTCATACTTCATCTTAACTGTCTTACGATGAACAATGTTTGACGTTGGTTTATTAGACATTCGTAGTTGGGTATAATCAAAAGGCGTAGAGATACATCAAAATACCTAAGCTATTCCTTGTAAGAGTCCTCAGATTCCATCTACGCGGAGTTTAAATTGAAACCGCTCCTATTTCTAACAAAACACGATACAAAATAATCTGTGTTTGCTAGTGAGTGTGGTACATTGGTATTCATCTTGTTCTAAGTTACGTGAGCTGGCATTCGAGCCAAGCTAAAACCAAAATACTTCCCATTTTATCCCTTCATGATGCCTTCGTGCACTTAATGGGAAGACTGGGGACATTACAATTAGGCTTTAGTAAGTCCACTTGACCTGCTGGCCAACAGAAGCAGCATGTACTTTAAAGAAATTGTGGCTTGCAAAACTTCCACTTACTTAAAAGAAGGCTGAACACATGTCTGTTTGAAGGATAAGAATGAAATGAGCTTTAGCGTGGCCCAAGATAGACCAACTCCAAGGTAAAAGCCGGATATTAGGTAATCACGAACAAAGAAATAGTTGCCGAATTGGGTAATGCATATGTACTGCATTGTTTATGCGATAGCTGACGTTCAGTGGCTACTTTAAGATTCGTCTTGTCCTTGTATTCGCGGGCTGGCCTTCAGGCCATGCTCAGGCCCAGTTGTTTGGTCCATCTTGGAGTACATATATCCAGCTTCCTTTACTGCCTTCTTGCACTCGGTGAGAAGTCTCAGAACGCTAAAGCATACATATTTATTGCTGAATTTTGTTTGTAACGAGGACATGTAAACCATCTGTGTATGCAACTATGAGCTACAACCCACCATTATGTATCTGCATGGCACAATATTATATATAAGCCGCTTAAAGAGCACGTAAATATTACACCCGTAAGGGTAGCCTTTTATCAACAAAATTGGTATTTGCTCATTATTTTAATATGACTTAAGCGACAATCACTGGTGCCAAAAATTTACTTTTAAATTCGTACTAGATAGATTTTGCAAAATACAGTGAGCAAAATATGTCTCTATTAGTATTTTTCGACTTTGATATTTTTAATCTATCATCTGGACAGCCCGCACGCATTGGTGGTGGATCGTTAGAGTATTCGTTGCTGGTATGAGTCAGGGTTTCTCGCGAGATCGGTTGTATCAAATTTTCCAGAAGTACGTCGTCTGGGCACTTATATTGTATATTCTAGACTTGATAAGGATGGCAGTGGGTCACTTTCTGCTCCAGAACTTCAGAAAGCGCTCTCAAATGGGACTTGGACCCCTTTTAACATCATAACTGTACAGGCAATGATAGGTGCGTGCTCATAGAAAGCTTGACTAAATTTTACGCAGACCTTTTCTGTCCTAATAACTCTATGGACATAAATTTTGATGGGTTCCTCCGCCTTTGGGACTTTGTCGAGGGTTGGCAGCGCTACTTCAAGGCTGTTGATCGTGACAATTCAGGATGTATAGACATCCACGAACTCCAGTCTGCTATATCACAAGCTGGTTAGTATTTGTTATTTTTTTGTTATTTGGGCGCACATTCTTGTTTGGTTGTTCATTCTGGCAATGTAGGTTATCGTCTAAGTCCTGGATTGTATCAACTTATGATGTGTCGCTTCGATCGCAAAAAGAAGGGCGTTATTTACTTTGATGACTTCATGTACATGTGTATAATACTCCAGGTTAGTCATTTGTGCTAGCTCTTTGGTCTTATAATTTCTGCTCGTCTAATCCAGTACCTATCTTGTTCTTTTTCTCAGAAATTGACGGAACAGTTCCGAAATCTGGACACCGATCGCGACGGCTTCATTCAGATAGGATTTGAGGACTTCCTCGTTCGCATATTTACCGTGTTCACCTAGCCTTCTGTCAAAAATGTTGACTGCCTTTGCATAATCCTGCAAAACAATAATTTGGGAACAGGATGACTTCCAATCTCGTTCATTCCATGTCACTTTTTCTTACAGTGATCTGACGTCAAGCACTTTATTAAATTCACCTGTAAGTCAGCCTGTATCTATGTGCCTGTGCCTTCCCTTGCCTTTTTCCTACGTATTCGGTTTGCTTTTTGGACTTTTTGAAGAATAAAAACGATTTGTAAATTTTCATTATGGGCATACATGCAATGTTCTTCACCATTCTTTGTTGCATCACCTTATGCCACAGAAATGAATGTCAGTTCGTTTTATGTGTTAATTTACCAAATTTCTCTCCTACATAGTTCTAAAGATTCCATTTTTGCACATCAAAATGTGGCATACACTTGGCTGATTTTGAGAAGAGGCTAGAGGAAATGCTTGATTTTGACGGTTAGCTAATGCCACTCTGTGGTTCTTCTTGGTCATGCATTGGTAGGATAGTGGTGCTGAATTGATATTTGGGCTGTACTGTCGTTACACAATCTACAAATTAGTAATGTGCATTTATTAGTGGAACTCGGGATTGACAGTCCATAAAAGATTGGCTGATCCTTCAGGGTCACTTCATGTTGAAGGATTGATTATGGAAACGAAGCCGCGTCCTTTGTTTCCTCCAGATAGTCTTCTTCTCATCTTCAATGGTAGATCACTGCGTGTCTTTTGTGTTTGTGCTGTTGTATTACAAAGCAATGAAAGCTTTGGTGTCACACATTCCAGCGAGAAGAAAAATAATTTGAGAAGACTTAACTCCTTTCCATCATTTGGATGACCTGTTCATGCCAAAATGAAACAGTCTCAGGAGGACTTTCAACCGACTGACTTGCTTTTCTTTTCACTCTGGAATGCTCCCTCGCAGTCTGTGTCATCTGTCTTGCTGGCTGCAGTAATGAACACCCAAAACGCCACGAAGGACCAGCGTTGAAAGTTTGCCGCGGCACGACTGCCACAAGTACGTCCCAACATCCATCGAGTCGGATGGCATCAAGCCGTTGAATGTGCAACATCAAAAGCTCCAAAACCACCTCTTTCCCTCAATTGTCACCATCCACTTGCTCATATGAGCGCCACTTTTAGGAATTGTTCACCCATTTTATCTTAATAATAGACAGTTGAATTAGGCTTTGAAGGTGGCTAAAACACCTACGCTCTTTCTACAGCCAGGACACATCCCAACATACGACTTTATTGCAGCAGAGACGCCTTTTGTGTCGGCAGAGTAAATGTCAATCTTTCAGATCTTGAGAAAGATGTCATCACGGCTGATCATCAATGAGACGTGGTTACTTGAATGGCTAAAAGGGCTATTTAAAAGTCAACAGGATTCGCAAATGATCAGGAAGGAAATTGCACCATTCGTTTTGAAGGAGGACGTGGTGTTGCAACTTTTAAGTGCTTGTAAGTGCTGTCACGACTGTTTGCCCACGTGACCAGATTCCTCTCTGCCTCCGCCATGGGACCACCGTCGGAATCAGAAAGCGATCTGCTGTGCCATCTGTCTTTCTGCTTGGCACTGACTGCCGCCTTATTGGTGCAATTCTCGCTCCATTATACTGTTGGTCCATCAACAGACAAGTCGGTCATAAGAATTGCTTCTCCAAATAAAAAGGCATGTTAGTGCAGGAAAAAGTTTGCTAAGACTTTTCCTTCTAAAAGTCGAAATTGTGGGTGCAAACAAATTGGAAGTTAAAACCAAATACACAGCCTTTACTCACCGGCTGAATAAGGAGTTGATTAAGTGACTGTCCGTCCGGCTGCGTTCGACCGTCGGACGCCCACGCGTGTACGCTGGGCTTGGACCGATCCCACAGGAGAGGGTGCGCTTGCATGCCTCTTTTAGCCCGCCTTGCGCCTACACCTCGAAATGGCCATTTCCCAACCTTGTGCCATCATCTTCCCACTAATTCTATTCTTGTCGTGTTGTAACTCAACTTACGTGGCTTTGAGTTGCAAGGATAAATGCGAAGAAGTGGTATTTAAGTTAAACTTGTACTCCAACTTTAACGGAATCCAATTAAGCTTAATGATAAGGGGAGGTAAATGGCTTCTTTGCCACCTCACGCATTCCTACTCCACACCGTCTTTAATGCCTCCTTTTCAGAACACCGACGGGTGGACGAATGCACAACCACCTGATTGGTTGGTAGACTGATCGGCCAAGTGCTCCATCTCGTTGGCAGAGAACGGAGGACTTTCCTTAAGCCTTTTTTACTGACACGATAATGCTTTGCGTCTACGATGAGTAATTCAAATTGCTTCACTTCAACGTTATTTTACGAATCAACACCTCAAGGTCGCTATTCCATTTTAAATTTGGACGTGGTCATTCCCGTGAAACTTCTCTTTTCATGGTTATCACCTAGCCACTGCTCAGAAGTAGAAGGACGCTTTCAGCAAACGAATATCTTTTTCACGAATGGGGTTGAAACCTCACACTTATCAGTTCCACTTCGTTTCACCTTAACACAACAGTTCTCAAGCCCCTCTCACCTTTTCCTCATCACCTGAGCACGTTTCCTTGCGTACAGAAGCACTGCCATTCTTTCATGAAAACAAAGCCTTTTACTCATTTATTTTAACTTTTCATACAAGTCTTCAATCAAATTGCATTCATTAAAATAAGTAATTTTAGCCAAGACTGTGTCGATTAGGGGACCACATTGGTTTGGAGATCTTAACATTCCAAAGTGATTGGCCATTTCTCAAGGTCATCGCATTCATGTTGGTGACTCCTATGCCAACCAGCACCTCTGCTATCCATCTATTTATTTATTTTAGTATTTTTTAAGTAAAATGCACTCAGTATTCTCATCATGGAACCTAAAGTGCAACCACACGGTCATGCTAAAATACCATTCATAATCCTCACACCTCGTATGGCCTGCCAAGGTCTCCTTCTCACTGCCACGATGCCTTTGTCACGCGTTCGCCATTTTTAAAGCGTGAGCAACTGTTATAAAGTAGATAAGGCAACCGCATAAAGGGCGACGCTTGAAAGAAGCTGTCCAGAGATGTGCTTACAGCTCCAGAGAAGTAATTTTTTGGCTGTGAATTTGTGAATTCTTTCCTTCTTGTGAGGTTATACTTTTCTGCTTTGAGTCAAAAGAAACCTTTTAGAAGTGCTGCACGCACCTCTCCCCCACCTCTGATTAATGACTGGTTCTGAACTAATGCTGATCCGTGCGGTGGGCTCAAAACGCCTTCAAGTAGCTCCAGAGGATCCAACGCGCAAACCACACGCTTTGCTCCATAACTTGCCTACAAAGAAGCAAGCATTCCGAGTCATGCCATCTTCAAGAGCGAAGACTCTGGTTCTTTGTCTTCTTCGCTATAACTTGAAGGATTTTGTGCTTAAAATGCCCACATCACCTTCAGGTGAGAGGAGAAACTCCCGTGTTCCCTTAAACACATTCTGTGTAGGCACTTGCCATCTCACTCATTTCTGCTAAGGTTGATCAATTTTGTTCTCCATCCCCCTGGAAGACGCTAGTCCCTGAATTACGTCTGTTCTTTTGTTTGTGGTGATGGTGTTGGCGGCGCTGAAGAGTCCTTTGAGTCACTTAGGCTCCATTTTAGGCCAAGAGGAACAATGGAAATTAAGGTTAGAAGATGGTGGACTGATTACCATTAACGAGAGCCGTTAAGATTGCTGATGGAAAGGGACAGCGCTATTCATTTGAAGGCACGCAAAAAGACTTTTTGAGACACTATCAAGGTGTTAAAAGCAGTTTACAATTACGTCAAGTGAGGTGGAAGGAAGAGGGAAGGTGTGAGTAAGAACTCCACTTGTGGGGCTGGAATCGGACAACTAAGCGAGAGGTGGTACCGATTGATGCAGGAGGGCGGATGAGGGGGAAGGGGAAGCAGAGGCGTACAGAGCCTGCGATCCACCTGATTGACACTGACTAACTGCTTCGCCTACATACACAAAGCAGAACCATAGAAACGCTGATCAACCCTATCCTGACACCGTGTCACCCAACTCATCTTGTCGACAGTGAAGTGGGAGAACAGGAGCACTGCCAGACATTTCAAATTCAACAAGAAGCGCTTTCTTCTGCTCTTGCCCAACTCCCCACGCACGCAGAAGAGGAAGTGATTTATCCACTCTGGAAGGAGTCTTCTCTACTTCCATCGCAAGACTGAGAGTAGGGAAATGGGAAAAATCTTTGCTGATTACTTTTGTCTGACTCACTATTAGGGGCCATTGGTTTTCCTTATCCACCGTTGAGCAGTTGGTAGTTGGCGAGGGGAACTGTCCTTTCACAATTCAAAGCGTTGCTTTTATTTTTAATCACAAACAGTGATTGTTAGTCATTTTGTAGGTCAATTGACTCCAATTCTTCTCCTCTTTTGATGTCATCAGTCAATGCTTCAAGCAGGAATTTGCTTGCCATTCGTCTCCCAGATGTCAGACCCTAGCGAACAAATGCCGAGACCTTCAACAATGCAAGTTGAGATTCTATTGAGTAATCAAAGCGATAAGAAGAATGTTAAACTGTATCAATACAGTTTTTATGCGTTGGATTCCCCATTTGATTGTATTTTACTTGGAGAGGATTGATTCCACCTCCACGATGCAGAACAGAGAACACAAAGCAAACGATGTCTCACTCTCTCACGGTCATTCACTTCCACATTCTGTTGTGCAGAGAGGCTGTTACTCCTGTCTTTGAGGGTGAGTTGGAGGAGAGATGGTCAAGCCAAGATTACTCGAAAGCCATTGGAAGTGGGAATTGACTAAGTCAAACTGCAGTTTGACCTGAGGAGGCAGAACAAAAGAACCGGTGTTGAGATGAAACAGCACCTTTGACACACCCTCTGCAAAGCACTAGTTGTTCTACTCATGAGTGTCTTTGTGTGATCGACCGATAAATTGGGCTTTCCACCATCCCTCCAACCTTCTGCTCACCCAGTGTCAAATACGTGACCTTTCTGTCCGTACT